TATCTATCTATCTATCTATCTATCTATCTATCTATCTATCTATCTATCTATCTATCTATCTATCTATCTATCTATCTATCTATCTGATGGTGAGTTTTCTCTTTCTTCTTCTTCTTCTTTTATTATTATTATTATAACTAGTAGTAGTACTAGTATGACTTAATTATTTTATTTATATTGATTTTTTAGCATTGATAGTGGATTTATACTGGCATGCCTGATATTTTAAAGGATGCCTCATGTAGTTTTTAATGTAAGCTCTGTGATGTTGTTAGTTTTGTTAGAGATTCAAAAATGGTATTATCTTCCCTTAGATGTCTCAGCTGTTTAAAAGACATACAATTTATTGTTACTTTTTTTCTCAGTGAGAAAACACCGGGGTCTGCACACTCTGTCTGTGCATCACAGAGTTCCTCCAAAGATGTACCTCTCCATTTCAAGAAACATCTGTAAGATCTACCTTTGAGCACCCTACTCTGACAAACCTTCCTATTCTTTAAAAATACACAATTTAAAGGTTGTTTTTGTTTCTCATTAAATCCTTTTTTCTACACAGTAAAAAGACACAATGGTCTAAAAATCAACTCCAATCTGACTGTCAGTCAGTGAGCTCTTCCAAAGATGTACCTCTCCATTTCAAGAAACATCTGTAAGACAGATTTTATAATTTTTTCATCTTTGATGGCGAATTTTCTCTCTTATTTCTTCTTTTATGGTTCTGCTGCTGCTGCTGATTAGTATTAGTAGTAATAGTAGTAGTATTTATTAATTTATGAGTGATGGATTTTAGACTGGTATGCCTGATATTCTAAAGGATACCTAATCTAACTTTAAATGTAAACTCAGTGATGTTGTTAGTTTTGTTGGATTTTTTTTAAAAATGGACAAAATCTGCTGACTGAGTATTTTTATTTTTTTGTCATCTGTTTAAGAGAAATGCAATTTTTTTTTCTCAGTCAGGAAACACCGAGGTCAGTTTGTGCATCTGAGAGTTCTTCCAAAGATGTACCTCTCCATTTTAGGAAAGATCAGTAAGGCAGATTTCCTCACGATTCTTCTATTATTTTTTTACCTTTGATGGGGGATTTTAGACTCAAATGTCTGACGTTATGGTTCCCATACCTGCAAGATTCTAGTTCTTTTTTATTTATTTTTTAAATTTGCAATTCAGAAGCCTTATAGAAAGCTTGTTGAATTTGTTTTACAGTAAAACAGTAATATATACCAGATTTTAATAAAATTTCTTTCTGTGGTTAAACCTTCATTAGTGACAATTTTATTAAAGTTAACTGTGTCTAGCTGGAATGGGTGAAATGTAAACTTTTATCCTTGCATTTTTACTAATAAAATGGCCAAATAAAGCTTGAACGTCCTAGTCTTATTGTTGTCTTTCAGAAAAGTATATGGAATGCCAAAATATTGGGGTGGACATATGAGTGGTGTTGCAAGTCTTCCCAAGTATGTTTTAAACATTGAAATATAGTAGACAGTATGCCATACAGCATATCTGTTGAATTAACTAAATACATGCATAACATTTGCTCTTTGCAATGATTTTTCAGGTTAAACTTAATGGGGCCTACAGCTGCTGTATATCCAGTGAAGACATCTAATATCATTGAGGAGGCTAAATTTTCTCCATGTTTGCTGAAGAGGACTTCCATTGATGACCAACCCCAAAATCAGTAAGACACTCAAATCTGGCGAGTTTTATTTTAAGCTTTTTGAACCTTTTAAAGCAGGTTGTTGTTAAAATCAGGTTTGAGTAGCCACCAAAACGTTAACTGAAAATTCCACCCAATTAAGAACAACTGACACGTATGTTTGCTAAAGCTAGGAGTATCCAGCTCAATCTGCTCATGCATAAATTTAATTTTGACATTGGAAAGCATAAAAAAGATCCAACCCTCAGTTGTTGAGTAAAGCCATCTTGGTAACCAAGCTTGGTACTTCAATGTGTTTAAGCTTGAAAGTCTTGCTTACCTTGTTCATAATTGTGAATCCATGATAAGAAGTAGCTTAACAAATGATGTCATTATTCTTTCAGATTGGAGAGTCCACACTGGGACTATTTTGAACAAGAGACAGAATCAACTTTTGAGGACAACAAAACGTACGCCAGACTTTATCCCCAGCAGTTTAAATATGATTTGCTGATACTGCTTACAGACTTTTTATTGGTGTCTGGGATACCCCCAAACTAGGGAACACATGTGAATAGGGTGCCTTCCCTGTCGTCTCCAGCTTAGCTACATGCACAGTATATAAACTGTAGAAAGTAGATCCAGTGTAATCATTGCATTGTCACACAGACCTAAAGTCAGAGACTTTAGATAGTAAAACAACATTCTTCCATTGAATTCTTCCTGCTCATATTACAAAATTTTGAGATGGTTGGAATAACCC